TCTTCTGTAGTGGTGACAACATTTCGGTTATCAGGGTCATTTATTGTGACCTCTACAGGAATTGCAGATACACCAAGTTGTTTACCATTCATGTCACGTGGGGTTATAGTGAAATTGCAGGTTTTACCAACTACCGCATCATTCTTGATGACGTCACAACTGATGTTACCTTGATGCCCACTAAACACTGTATTATTTACCATATTTAGATTTACACTCTGAGGATGAAAGAATCTCGGGAACTGTTCTGTCGTTGATTTGCGATCTGGTATTGTTTGTGATGAGACCTTGTCCAGTTGACTGCATACATCGTATTTAGTTGTCAATAGTTCCACATCACTGTCATATTTTAGTGTGAATTCTGTGAATTTCACAGATGTATCAACGATATATTGCCTCATCTGTAGTTTCTTTTTCTCAATATTGAGCGATGTTTGCAGTACGTTGTGTTGCTTCTCGATTTCACAGACCAACTGTTGTTTTCTACTGTTGATTTTTTTGATTAATTCAGAGAAGTAATGTTCAACATCATTTACTTGTTTTGTAGTGTTATCTTTAAGGTTGGATAATTCTTGATTAATTTGATTAATTTGGAGAGATATCTCCCTAGTTTTATCGATTGCTTTGTCAAGTTTGCCGTTGATTATTTCCTTGTATTTCAAAACTGCGTTCTCTATGTTGATTGGCTGGTGGTAAATTGCATTATGTTCTAAGAGGGCGCACTGCAGACATATTGGTGACTGGCAATTGCGATGATCACAGTACAGTGTTATTCTCTGGTCAGTGTGACCCCTTCCTTTTGAACAAAATCGTTTTTGATGAAAGAACGAGATGAGTGAATCTTCTGATAACTGTTTCAATTCTTCAATAGTTTTCACTTCATGTGTTTTCAAATACTCAATATGATCGTGGTTGTCATGACAATATTGACAAAGGTATGCATCACAGTCCGAACAATGTGAAACATTCAGTGTTTGTTTGTTACGGCAACAGCTTTGACGGGATGGTAGTTTACTGTGCTTAATCTGATTCTTATGACAAAGCAATTGATTATAATTTAGAAATGCGAAATTTGTTGGAATTATGTCTATGTGTATGGGGATGTAATTCTTTTGTTGACATCCGGGACATTGGAATATTCTGCCAACAGCATAAGCTAGACAAATTGCACAGAATGTATGAAGACAGGGAAGATACTTAGGTAGTCTGTCGGTGACGTCATACACATGCTTGCATAGTGAACACTTCAGTGGCACTTTATTTTCACCCTGACGTACAAGATCTGTATCACTTATTCCCGCCATTGTAGTCATCTGTTGTCTGGAAAACACAAGGGTAAATCTAAGATTTGATTTTCTGTACAGCTTATCAGCAGTTGCATATTTATTACTGGCTTAGTATGGTAATTGTAAAACGCACCAATTAACTACCCGGATTACACACCATCTCACACAAATATAAGCAGTTACACAGAAATAGGGAAAATTAACTCTGTGAACAGTTTGACAAGTGCAACTTATCTTCGATGGTATAACACATAATTTTGTTGCAATCGCTTTGAAAATGCCCTGCACAAATTATTAGTAACATTCACATTTCTTCTGGTATCAACACAAAAATATATTAATTCAAGTGGGAATAGCAGTATGTCCACCTTCGACTCGTGGTTCTAATTAGTTATACACCATGTGTCATAAGTTAACGACTTAATGTAACTTAGTCAAGGTACAAGAACTGACAACCCACTGGAGAATTTGTTTTATATAGCTTCATGAGTATACCATCAACGGCATGGTCCCACAGCCACGGCATCCAAATGAAAATGCGCTTCGACCCTGGTTATATTTCTGTTATTTTTGGATCTGCAATAGAACGATAACCAAACTAAAGTGTTCCATGCAACGTTTGGTCACATTGTATGTTCGAATAACGTTCTACAACTCGTATTTTTATTTACGTGCACATGGAAAGGAAGGTAAGGTAATAACTCACATACCACACATATTAGAACAGCTTTGAGTAGACGCCACTCTACTTTGGGGGTTGTGAGTCTATACAAATTATATATTTCGCCAAATGTTCATTTTCTTACTTGAAATGATTAAAACAAACAATAGGATTGATGAAGTTCCATTGTTTTCAGGGAGAATGTTTAAAATTTAGAATAGATAATTGTGTATACTTAGTTGCTATACAAAATAACGTATATCACGTACTGTAGTAAAAAATAATCCCACCATCGCTGTATTTATGGTGAGTCGAGAATAAAATACCGTGGTACTCTTCCCTACATTGTCTGCGCTTTTCTATACTAAATATAAAGAAGAAGGGTAGAGAGGTTGAAAATCTGATTCGAAAAGATGACAGATTGAAGTTCACCGACATATTGAAACGCTAAAACCCCCATATAACAATGCTACTCTCATTGGAAACAGACGCATACATACATACCGAAGATATTTTAAGACAATCGATAATAAACAATACCATTTTCCTAGTTCGGAGATTTAGAATGAGTGTGGATGAATGTAAACATATACTGTGTGCGCTTATCCGTTATAATGAATGACAATTATATGGTTAGTACTTACGAAAATTTGAGAAAAACTCGATGAAGTTACTGCTGCAGTTTGGAAACCTGTACCCAATGTGTGTTCGTGATAGCGGACTGAATGCTAATTCACGTATCACCAAACT